AAAATTATTTATTTTTATATTTTAGATGATTTTGGTAGTTGATATAAAAAATAAAAATAAAAAAATATTATTTAAATATATTTTAAAAAATCAAATTGAATCCAAAAAACTTCATGGCCTTGATTTTTTTTGTTGATGTTTTAAAATGAAAAAAAAAAAACTCCTATTGAACGCTATTATTGAAGATCAACTTATTGATGTTGAGATTCATCTTTGTTAGTAATTTTTGTAACAGAGTTAAAATTTAGCATGAATATATTGATGAAAATATTACTGAAAAGATATAACAGTTCATGAAATAATATCAAATTAAAAAATAGTGGTAAAAATTGACCTAGTAAGTAATGTGTTGATTCAAGTTTGAATTTGGATGATAGATAATTTAAGACAAATAACAAATATAATAAACTTGATATGAAATAATATCAGATTCAAAAATACTGGTAAAAATTGACCTATCCGTGAGTAATGTGTTGATTCAAGTTTGGACTTGGATGATAGATAATTCAAGACAAACAACAAATATAATAAACTTGATAGCATACATTGATAATCACATAAGAATATAGTTAGTTGTTATGATAGTTAAGATCATGGTTTTATGAGAGAAATGAGTGTTATGATAGCATAGATGATCTTTTTATGAGAGCATAGTTGTTGAACATAAAAGCATGATTTGGAATTACTCCTCAAAACACTAAGATTATGAGTCAAAACCACTCATCAAGTTTATAGGAACATGGAGGAGAAAGTGTTCCATTACTTTATATGACGATTATATATAAAAAGATCATCTATATTTATAGAAAGACTCGTGTAATTATTGTATAAGTGATCATTAGATTAAAAATCACCAAATTATCCTATATAAAAAATATGATATCATGATCTTAATTATATATTGTCTTAATCAAGGGTAGAAAATAAAAAAAATATTGAATATAACATAAATTATATTAAGGTATTTGAGTGATAAAAAAAAGATTCACCAACTAGATGGATTAAAAAAAATATTTCACATTTTCTCCGTAGTATATTAATTGAGAAATACTTACATAAGATGAAATAAAATTTGAAAAGAATTTCCATTCAAATAATCAATGACTATGTTTTTTAGAACCAATATGATTTGAAAAGCAATGCTCAAATGTTTAAATCATAATATTCTTAATGAATGAATAACTAAATCATAATATTCTTAATGAATACTAATTATATTGAGTAAATAATAACTAAACGATTAAATTCAACAATATATAATATTCCAAATATTTGGGAGATTATAACATGTTATTAGATGATATATTTGATTTTCATATATAAATTAATCAATTTATAAAATTTGTAATGAATTAAATTGTTTAATTTATTTAATGTTATTTTTATTAGGATTTTTATTTATATTAAGACCATATTTGAAATTTAATAGGTAAGACACATAAAAGTCATTAATATAAACTTAAACTAGGATGATTAATTAAATATGACTTGATTATAACTAGGTTTTAGAAATTATGGACTAGAATCCAATTTATACTTGGGATTACAATATTTAGACTTATAAAAATCAATAAAGGACTTTATTCCATAAATTTCTAAAATAGTCTTGAAATAAAATATATAATATTTTTCATAAACAAAGCAATATATTGATTTTTCCTATAAATAAAATTCTTGGTTTTATATTTTTTTAATCAAAAGATTAAAGAGAAATATATTATGGTTTTTAAATCTGTGATTTGTATGGATTGTTGTTAGAGGTTAAACAATTAAACAATTTGTAATTTGCAACAATTTAATCTTGAAAAGTTGATCTAACTTAGAAACAAGAAAATTGTGATTTTCAAGTAATTTTCTTACAAATTCTAAAGACTTTATATTATTTAACGAGATTCTTAGAACTTTCAAGAAATTTTAAAGTTAATATTTTCATTGTATATATATGTTTGAAAAATTTAATAATTAATCAATTTAATTTATTAGAAGAAATAGGACTAAACCTTTTAATCAATTATATGAATTCTTATTGTTGTGTTCAATTGCTTTATCTCAATTAATCATGACTTTTTTAATTAATTTTAATATTTATCATTAATTTCAGCCTCATTTTAATGTTTAATTCCTTTTTTTTACAATATGTATTTTTAATTTTAGTGTAACCAGGTTGTACAAATGAAGTGACAAATTTGAATAAATAAATAAATTGTTTATTTTTTTTCCTTGCCTCAACAATTAGTTAATTACTCGAATTTAGATTAGTTATCATACTATAGATAAATTTTTGATAATCTTGTTCAAATCTTGTTCAATATCAAGGTATTAAGGTCTCAGTCCAATTACAATCCCTTTCCAATGAGATTGTAAACTAGAACTTGTATTTCTTGTTGAAATTAAAATCAAATGGATAGAGAGAACCCCTATTTTTCCTAAAAGGTCAATTTCATCCTCCATTTCAATAATTGACGGAATTGGATGTCTTTATTAATTGGTCTAAATTGGCATTCTTTCAATGGGGGGGGGGGAATTGAATAGAATGAAAATAAGGGGAGGAATGACCTTTCTATAAAAATATAGGGACCAAAATTAGCTATTCTCTTAAAAAAGGAAAAAGAAATGGGAGCGGACCCCTTTACTGCACTGACCCTCTATCTTTTTCTTTATCCCCTTACTAACATGCAGAGGTTGCATAGAAATGCGAGCTTAGCTTTGGTTTGGACACAGACAACCGTTTAAAGTGCAAGAGAAGAAGGAAGGGACAAGGAAGGGACTATGTCCTTGTTGCTTAAGGCCAGCAACGGTCATCTCTTCTTATCATCATCAAATTCTTCCATGGCAACGTGTTCAAGCTTCTGCGCTCAACTTCCCATCCATTTTAGACCAATACCCATCTCTTCTTCTTTTCCCACTAATCAACCTTTCAGGCCCTTCTCTGCCCAAGCTTCAATTTCTCCTGCTAATGGTATTTTTTTGCTTTGCTTCTTCTTCTTCTTCATCTTCTTCTTCATGTACAATTCAGCAACTTGAGCTGCTAAACTTTATGGGGTTTGTGTTTTATAACGCCAAACTAGGTTGAATTACTATTATGTCAAGGATTCAGAAAGTATTAACAGGTGGCTCCTTGGCTTTCCCTGCTTAATTCACTTGTTTAGTAATTGAAGTGTTTGCCTTCAAGCTTGAATGGGATTTGAAAACTGCATTTGCGTGGAGATTGCAGATTGAGATTCATTTCATGATGTCTTTCAAGTTGAGCAACGAGAGTCAAACCAGAAGTCCTTCCTGCACATGTATTCTTTTTTTTTTTTTTTTTAATGATGAGAGCAAATTGAGAATTTACATGGTTTGATCTGATACAGATAATGATATTTGTGACCGTAAATTTTATACAAAACGTATGGAAATAGACATTGTGATGGATGGATGAAGTGGGGCACAGTGCAAATACACATTGGTACTAGAACTGCAAAATTAGCAGTATGGTTGCTGTACAGGACAAGCTGCTTCGTTTTGCATGTATACCAAGATAATGAATACATGTTGAAGAATGAGGTTGTTAGTGCTAAAGCAATGTGCCTGTGGATACATAATTGTTTGTGAGCATGCTTGGTCTGTAAAATTCTTGAATCTGACCAGAGGTTTCAAAAGCAATAGTTTTATGCAACTGCAAATGGAACTAGCACTGTGCAATGGCATATGCATATTGAACATCAAAGGTATTGTTCTTCTTATCTTCAAAATGGAAAATGACGAGGTGTCACAAACCTGTTAGAGTGCAGCAGTGCCAGGAGACAAACTGTTTACGATGATGATGTGCCAGGGGCAGTCTCACTGTGACCGCCTTCTTGTTAGAATACCTCATTAATTTGTTTGTTCATAATAAAGCATAGGTTTTATATTTGAACTATGTTCTAACAGATAATCGTGATTGTATTTAGCTATCAGTTGAGCTGCTTTTCATGTATAAAAACATGTTTTTGGTGTATTTACCCTATCTAACGAAACCCTTTTCTGAATTTGCAGATGGAGGCTCTCCAATTACTATTGGCTTTCTAGGCCTTGGAATTATGGGTTCTCCAATGGCTCAGAATCTCATAAAATCTGGGTATGATTTATTTTGTTGTTACTCTGTTTGAATGACAGAATCAAATGGCTGCAGTGTATTTTATTTTTGCATAATCAGGAACTACAGAAGAAAAAAAAAAAAAAATAGCTATCAGATTGGGCTATGTTGAGCCAATTTTATTTTCTGGACTGTTTAGTTTAATCCCATACTTGGCATTTTGTAGGTGTGATGTGACTGTTTGGAACAGGACCAAGAGCAAATGTGATCCTCTCATCAGCTTGGGAGCAAAGTAAGCACTTAATGTACATACAGCCTATGAAGTAAATGATTTTTGGAATTTCGAAATGGTCATGGACTACCTCCAAATGGGACGCTTGAAACAAGTGACCTTAGGATGACTCAGCATTCATTTTAATTCCGGGAGCAGGAATCTAGCTATTTTATATTTGCTCTTGATGCTTTCATCTGCAACTCTTCAAAGTGCAATCTTCTACAGATTGAAGCAGGGAAGAAATCTTACAAATTGTTTTCTTATGCAGATATAAGCCTTCTCCTGAGGAAGTAACTGCAGCCTGTGATGTCACATTTGCAATGCTTGCTGATCCAGAATGTGCAGTGAGTATGTTTTATTTTAATTGCCTCCTAAGTATTTCATACTGGGAAGCCAATAGTGGCCTTATTTCAGGTGGAGGTTGCATGTGGAAAGCATGGAGCTGCAAGTGGTATGGGTCCAGGAAAAGGGTATTTGCTCATAGTTCTTTCTCATTATAGGAAATTCATATGTTCTTCAGATGGTTTCCTATTGGTCATTGCTCCTAGCTTCATACTAGAACCACCTTCTGTGAATACTTGATTATGTTGTTGCTTGCTCAACATTCATTTGAGCATTTCAATGTGCAAGTTGCTAGCTGCTGGTGTTCATTTTGGAGAATTAGCCACTTCTTAACATAACTTAGAAGATTCAACTTTTATGTTGATACAGAAGTATCATCTGGTGGGTATAGTTGGCTTAGCTGAAAAATTCACCTGGCACGGTACCACCATACCAATTATTCTAGTTTCAATTCTCAAGAGGGGAGGTGGGAGGTATTTGGGGAGGCTGATTCCCTCGTGTAGCTCAAGGTCAAGGCCCACTTAAACTTCTACTGAACCAAAAGAAAACAGAGAAGTATATGAACCAAAAGAAAACAGAGAAGTATATCCTAGAAACTGCCTTTCATATAGTTCCTTTTCTGATTTAACAGCACGAAGATCCTTCCTAATACCTTGTAAGAGTCAAGTGCTTGCTAGTACATTCACCATTCACAATTGATTTTCAACAGAGATAAGATCCTAAATCCACACCTGGTTTGGCTTGGATCAGAGGATATATGAGAATGGATAAGGATTAACAATGCATTATTCTCAGCTGGTTTTCTACATTTGCCTTATTGAAGCTTTTTTTTTTCCTCTCTCTATCTTCCCAAGTCACATCTGCCTGCATGATGTACAGGTATGTGGATGTTTCAACTGTTGATGGTGGGACTTCTAAATTGATTTGTGGACATATCAAAGCTTCTGGGGCATCATTTTTGGAAGTGAAAATCTGTTCTCACCGCAACTATTCTTACTGAAACTAAGACATGTTCGATCCAGTTGCATGATAACCTTTTTAAGAGAACTTCCAGTAACCTTTACATTATTTTCCTGTAGGCTCCTGTTTCTGGCTCAAAGAAACCAGCAGAAGATGGGCAACTTATATTTCTTACTGCAGGTTGAAATTGATTTTAAATTTGTCCTCCCTCCACAAGTTCAAATTTATGGATGATGTAGAGACTATTGAAATTTTGGAAGTTTCTGTTCACTAATAAGATTGCTTCATACCTCTTCCACAATATTGTTATTGTCTGCTCATATTTTATCCTATACCTTTTTATTTTTAATCTCGGCTGCATAACATAGTGAATCACTTGCTTGAAACTGAAGCATGATGTGCTATCTTTCAGGTGACAAATCTCTGTATGAAACAGTCACTCCATTCTTGGATATCATGGGGAAGGTACTGTATCCTATTTTTCTCCTGGAAACTACTAATCACACTTTATTGTTCACATGGATGTTTTGATAATATCCAGTCAAGATTTTACCTTGGGGAAGTCGGAAATGGGGCTGCAATGAAACTTATTGTCAACATGATCATGGGCAGGTTCTACCGAGTTCCTTTCGTCAATTGTTTTCTGTTTTGCTTCTATGCTGGATTATATTGTGACACCTGGTGTTTTCAACAATTTGCAGTATGATGGCAACCTTTTCTGAAGGATTGCTTCTCAGCGAGAAAGTAGGACTGGACCCAAATGTACTGGTTGAGGTATTTGTGAACAGAAAATCTTGTTAGATTATGTCGTGTCACTTGTCATCAAACCCCATGAAGATTAACTGAATTCATACTCTTGTTTTCTTTTTATTGGATTATTCTTGTTCTTTCTATCTCATTCGAACATGCACAATGATAATCATTGCTCTGCCGTTCTCTGGAAAATAAATGAAGAAACTCTGATTTTCAGTCTGTTTTATTTCTTCATCTGCATTTGTTTGTGTACGAGAGAGAGAGAGGTTCTGAATGATGCTTAACTAAAATTCCTTGGTCAAAATGAATCAAGGTGTTGCACCCTTCTTGTTCAATAACAGCACTTAATGGAAGAGTACATCCAAAGTGGACCTCATTTGTTAGGTGTTCTGGCTTGAAAAACTCTTAAAATTAAAGCGTGCACTCTTCTTCCTTGTCTTTGTTGGTCAAACTAAAAGCCTCCAGTTTATAGAATGATGTTATCTTTTTTATTTTATTTTATTGTTTTTGAAGGCATCTATTGAAGCCTCTTAGGAATCTTCTTACATAGGTGAAATTGCAGGTAGTGTCCGAGGGTGCCATTAGTGCACCGATGTATTCGCTGAAAGGTCCCTCAATGGTCAAATCTCTATACCCCACTGCTTTTCCCTTAAAGCATCAGCAGAAGGTTTGTAGATATTCTAAATTGCAGACACTATTTAAATCAACGCTTTCATCTAAAAAATGAAGTCAATGGTTTCAGGACATGAGACTTGCCCTGGGATTAGCAGAATCTGTTTCCCAACCCACTCCAATTGCAGCAGCTGCAAATGAACTATACAAGGTAGCAAAAAGTCACGGGCTTAGCGACAGTGATTTTTCAGCAGTAATGGAAGCACTGAAAGGAAAAGTGCAATCCTGAGCAAACTAGTGTGTTTTTTTCCTGGTTACGAAGGAGAGGCTTTTACCTGAGACCTCGAGTTTTCTTGTATGTCGTCATCACCAGCCTGTGGTCTTTTTTCTGTGTTAGTACATGTCTGTCGGGAAAAAAAACTACGTAGTCCCTAAACTAAACTAGTGATAGTTTTTGAACAAGGAATTTACCGTAATTAATAATTGATGTGCAAATTCATTGCAATAAATATGGGTGTAGCTTATAAATAAATAAAGAAAAGATGTTTATTTTATATTAGAAAAAAAACACTTTTTTCTAATGTTGGGTTTCTATTTTATAGTAAATTAAGTTATGGTGAATAAAATTTTTTATTTGACTTTCTAGTGTTATTATTTAGATATTTAAAATATCAAAAGATATTATTTGGAACTTGAAACTTAATATGAATAGTTATATTATTTCATGAATAGTCATGTTATTTCATGAACAATCATGTTATTCCATTAACAATCATATTGTTTAATGGACAATTATAGTGTTGAATAGTGGTTCATCAACAGTTATATTGTTTGATGAATAGTTATATTATTTCATCAATAGTCATATTGTTTAATGAACAATCATGCTGTTTCATTGTTATGTTTCAAGTCTATAAAAACATGTTACTATAAAAAAAAACACAATAAAAAAAATACATATATTCTTTTTTTGCTTTTATCTTCTCATTCTTTTAGAGGTTTAAAGGGTTTAGTTGTATCCTAGAGGTGTTGTCTTTGTGTGGGATAAATAAACATCTTAAAGATAGTGTTTTTACATCTCTAAATCAACTCTATACTTGTTTCCATCCTAAACATTTCTAATAATTTTAAGGTGTTTATTTTGATGGAGACAAATATAAATTCTATCGTCAAAGTTGCTAAGGATGTCAAAATTTAACTAGATCGGTTTGATAGTACGAATTACACAAGATGAATGGATAAGATGATATTCCTGCTCATTTCATTAAAGATTTCTATATTTTTTATCCGAATTTATTTGCACTACCTGAACCATAAGAAGATGAATCTGCCACTATTAAGATTGCAAGAGTAAAAAGTGAAGAAGATGGGGTGCTTTGTCGAGGACATATGTTGAATACTTTGACCAATTGACTTTATGATATCTTCTCCAAATTAAAGTCGCCAAAAGAAATTTGAGCTGCCTTGGAGACACACTATAAGCAGGAAAAATCAAGTTTTGATTGTTTTCTTGCTTTAAAATTTTTTGAGTATGAGATTACTGATAATAAGCCAATCATGGATCAAGTTCATGAAATTCAAATGCTGATATCAAAACTTAGTGATTTGGATATCAAAATTCCTGATTCACTTTAAATGGGGCTGTTTTATCAAAACTTTCTCCATCCTAGAATGAATATAGGAAGAAGATGTTGCATTCTACAAACAATTATACCTTTAAACAGTTTCAAACACACTTGCAAATTGAGGTTCAATCTTATATGCGTGAATTGCAAGCAACAAATTCTAAAGTGAATTTGGTTACCGAAACTAGTTTAACAATGACTCAAAACAATTTGAAAGTGCAAAAGAAAAGGAAACAAATTCAGGAAGAAACAAAATGCTAATAAGAAGCATAAAGTTTGTTTCCATTGTGGAAATAAAGGGCACAATATAAAAGAGTGCAGATTCAAGAATTTCAATAAGAAAGGTAGTTCTTTCAAAGTGAATATGGTTAAAAAAGATGAAGTTAGGGAGTTAGTTGCCGTGGTTTCTAACATTCAAATTAGAATGATTATTGAATTAAATATGACAATTAATGTTGTAAAGACTTCAGATTGGTGGCTGGATTCTGGTGCAACAATTCATGTTTGCAACAACAACGCATGGTTCAAGACTTATAAAGAATTGAAAAAACTTGAAGAGGTTTTGATGGGCAATCATAATTCTGCCAAAGTTTTAGGAAAAGGAACTATTGAGTTGTACTTTATTTCTGGACAAAAATTATCTTTACTCAATGTGTTTCATGTTCCTGAAATTAGAAAAAATCTTGTATCTGCTAGTCTTTTGAGCAAGAAAGGGTTCAAGATTGTTTTGGAGTTTGATAAAGTTATTGTAACTAAGAGTGGAATGTTTGTGGGAAAGGGTTATTCCTATGATGACATGTTTGAGTTCAGTATTAATAAAATCAATGTTATTTCTACTTATATAGTTGAATCTACTTCTCTTTTTTGACATGCTAGATTAGAACATCTGAATTATAGATATTTGAAATATATGTGTAAGCATGATTATATTTCATATCAACAAAACTAATAAAAATAAATATGAAGTGCAAAGAAGCCTTTTTCTAAAGTAGAAAGGAATTCTCAATTACTTGAGTTGGTCCATTCTGATATATGTAAAATAAATGGTATGTTAACAAGGGATGAGAAAAGATATTTCATAACTTTCATTGATGATTATTCTCGTTTTATCTATGTTTACTTGTTAGAACTAAAGATGAAGCTTTTGGAAAACTCAAGGAATTTAAGAAAATGGTAGAAAATTTTTATCTATGTTTACTTGTTAGAACTAAAGATGAAGCCTTTGAAAAATTCAAGGAATTTAAGAAAATAGTAGAAAATTAAAAGGAAAGGCAAATTAAAGTTCTTAGAAGTGATAGAGGTAGAGAATACTTTTCTAAGGAGTTTTCTACTTTTTGTGAGGAAAACAAAATAATTCATCAAATGACAGCACTATATACACCATAACATAATGAACTTGCTGAAAGGAAAAATAGGACCTTAGTGGATATGGTCAATCATGCTTTTGAATGCTAAATTACTAAATAATTTATGGAGTGAAGCCTTACTTACTGTATGTCACATTCATAATAGAGTATTATTTAAAAAATCAAATGTTTCTTCCTATGAAGCATAGAATGGTAGAAAACCAAATCTGAATTATTTTAAAGTGTAGGGGTGTGTAGCTTTTTATAAAAGTTCTGATTCTCAAAGAACAAAATTAGGATCTAGAGGTTTTAAGAGTGTTTTTGTTTGTTATGCACAAAATTCAAAGGCTTATAGACTTTTGAATTTATAAATTAATGTGATTTTGAATCTATACATGTTGAATTTATCGAATATAAATTCATAAGTGATTCAAATGTATAAGAATCAAATCTAAAAATAATGACTCCTAGCTCAATGTTAAGTGAAAAACGTAAAAACTTAGAAGTAATAGGTTCAAATGAACCTAGAAAAAGTCAAAGAGTTAGAAAGGAAAAACACATAGATATAGATTTTATTTTTACCAATTCAATTGTATTTTTTATGGAAGGTGATAGAAATACAATATTAAAAAAAAACAGCTATGATCTTAAATATAGAAGATGATCCAAAGACATTCAGTCAAGCTATGTCTTCTAGGGATGTTGTTTTTTAGAAAGAAACGGTAAATGATGAAATGGATTCAATATTGTCTAACAATACTTGGGTCCTAGTAGATTTACCTCTAGGTTCTAAGCCAATAGCATGCAAGTGGGTGTTTAGAACAAAATATAATACCTTTATATGCGTGAATTGTAACCAACAAATTCTAAAGTGAATTTGGTTACCGAAACTAGTTTGACAATGACTCCAAACAATCTGAAAGTGTAAAAGAAAGGAAACAAATTCAAGAAGAAACAAAATGCTAATAAGAAGCATAAAATTTATTTCCATTGTGAAAATAAAGGGCACTATATAAAAGAGTGCAGATTCAAGAATTTCAATAAGAAAAGTGGTTCTTTCAAAGTGAATACGGTTGAAAAAGATAAAGTTAGAAAATTAGTTGTCGTGGTTTCAAACATTCAAATTAGAATGATTATTGAATTAAATATGGTAACTAATGTTGTAAAGACTTCAGATTAGTGGCTGGATTCTGGTGTAACAATTCATGTTTGCAACAACAATGCATAGTTCAAGACTTATAAAGAATTGAAAAAACTTGAAGAGGTTTTGATGGACAATTATAATTTTGCCAAAGTTTTGGGAAAAGAAACTATTGAGTTGTACTTTATTTCTGAACAAAAATCATCTTTACTCAATGTGGTTCATGTTCCTGAAATTAGAAAAATCTTTTATCTGCTAGTCTTTTGAGCAAGAAAGGGTTCATGATTGTTTTAGAATCTGATAAGGTTATTGTAACTAAGAGTGAGATGTTTGTGGAAAAGGGTTATTCCTGTGATGACATGTTTGAGTTCAATATTAATAAAATCAATGTTATTTCTACTTATATAGTTGAATCTACTTCTCTTTTTTGACATACTAGATTAGAACATCTAAATTATAGATATTTGAAATATATGTGTAAGTATGATTATATTTCATATCAACATAAATAATAAAAATAAATATAAAGAGCAAAAAAGCCTTTTTCTAAAGTTGAAAGAAATTCTCAATTACTTGAGTTGGTCCATTCTGATTTATGTAAAATAAATGGTATGTTAACAATGGATGTGAAAAGATATTTCATAACTTTCATTGATGATTATTCTTATTTTATCTATGTTTACTTGTTAGAACTAAAGATGAAGCCTTTGAAAAATTCAAGGAATTTAAGAAAATAGTAGAAAATTAAAAGGAAAGACAAATTAAAGTTCTTAGAAGTGATAGAGGTAGAGAATACTTTTCTAAGGAGTTTTGTACTTTTTGTGAGGAAAACATAATAATTCATCAAATGATAGCACCATATACACCATAACATAATGAACTTGGTGAAAGGAAAAAAGGAACTTAGTGGATATGGTCAATGCCATGCTTTTGAATGCTAAATTACTAAATAATTTATGGAGTGAAGCCTAACTTACTGTATGTCACATTCATAATAGAGTATTATCTAAAAAATCAAATGTTTCTTCCTATAAAGCATGGAATGGTAGAAAACCAAATCTAAATTATTTTAAAGTGTAGAGGTGTGTAGCTTTTTATAAAAGTTCTGATTCTCAAAGAACAAAATTAGGATCTAGAGGTTTTAAGAGTGTTTTTATTTGTTATGCATAAAATTCAAAGGCTTATAGACTTTTGAATTTAGAAACTAATGTGATTGTTGAATCTATACATATTGAATTTATCGAATATAAATTCATAAGTGATTCAAATGTATAAGAATCAAATCTAAAAATAATGACTCCTAACTCAATGTTAAGTGAAAAACGTAAAAACTTAGAAGTAATAGGTTCAAATGAACCTAAAAAAAGTCAAAGAGTTAGAAAGGAAAAACATATAGATATAGATTTTATTTTTATTAATTCAATTGTATTTTTTATGGAAGGTGATAAAAATACAATATAAAAAAAAACAGCTATGATCCTAAATATAGAAGATGATCCAAAGACATTCAGTCAAGCTAAGTCTTCTAGGGATGTTTTTTGAAAAGAAACGATAAATGATGAAATAGATTCAATATTGTCTAACAATACTTGGATCCTAGTAGATTTACCTCCAGGTTTTAAGCCAATAGAATGTAAGTGGGTGTTTAGAACAAAATATAATACCAATGGTTCTATATAAACCTTCAAGGCAAGATTGGTTGTCAAAGGTTTTACTCAAAAGGAGGGTATTAATTATTTTGACACTTATTTTTTAGTGACAAGAATTATATCAATTAGAATTTTATTTACATTAGCATCAATTTATAAATTGTATGTTCATCAAATTGATGTAATAATGACTTTTTTAAATGGAGATTTAAAGAAAGAAGTATATATAAAGCAACCTGAAGGTTTTATACTTCCTGGAAATAAAGAAAAAGTCTGTAAATTGGTAAAATCCATATATGTTTTAAAACAAGCTTTGAAACAATGGCATGAAAAGTTTGACAAAGAAATTTTATTGAATGATTTTTATCACAATGGTTCTGATAAATATATGTATTCCAAATTCACAAAAGATTTTGGTGTGATTATTTGTTTTTATGTAGATGACATGTTAATATTTAGCACCAATATGATTGAAATAGTTGAAACAAAAAGTATCTCACTTCTATATTTAAAATGACAGATCTTGGTGAAGTAGATACAATTTTAGGTATGAAAATTAAGAAATATAGCAGTGGTTATGCACTTAATCAGTCACAGTATATTGAGAAAATGCTTTATAAGTTTAAGCATCTCAATATAAAAGAGGCTAATACCCCATTTGACTCAGTATAAAGTTAAATGATCATTGTGATAAAGTGGTAGCACAACTAGAATATGTTAGTGCCATTGAAAGTCTTATGTATGCTATGCATTGTACAAGACCATATATAACTTTTTCTATATGCAAGTTATCAAGTTATCAAGTTATACAAGCAAGTCGAATACAAATCATTGGAAAGTTATTGCAAGAGTTTTTGGTTACCTAAAAAAATGATCAATTTAGGCTTGTTTTATTTTGATTTTCCATCTATGATTAAATAATATAGTGATGTAAGCTAGATGACTAGTTCAAGTGATAATAAGTCTACATCAGGATGAATTTTCTCACTTGAAAAAGGTGCAATATCTTGGGCATTTAAGAAACAAACATGCATATATCATGCTACAATGAAATTAGAATTTATTGCTATAACTGCTGCCGGTAAAAGCAAAATGGTTAAGAAATATGTTGTTTGATATTAAGTTGTTGCCACAACCTATGTCAGCTATTTCTTTATACTGCGTGGTGAAACAACTATGTCTCGAGCTTATAGTAACATTTACAATGGTAAGTCAAGACATATAAGTATTCAACATGGATAAATTCGAGAGTTGATTACAAATGGTGTAATCACCATTGTTTATGTGAAGTCTGTGAATAATTTAGCGGATCCGCTTACAAAAGGACTATCTAGAGACATGGTACGAAAAACAACTAATGAAATGGGGTTGAAACCTGTTATTAAAGATACCAATAATAGGAACCCAACTTTGGATTAGCAAAAAGCTTATCTCTTAGTTTAATGGGTAATAACAAGTTACTGTTTCGTATCTGTTGGATACTGATAATTAATTTGAGTCTCTATTCTGATAGTATTCAGTGTATTCTATTACGAAAAGTAGAATAAGCGTGAGCTCTTAATGGAATTTAAAGTTTATGTCTAATGTAATAGAGATATGTATAATTCTACCTATATGAATATAAAAGTGGTGCCACTTTTGACAAGAGTTAGGTTTTTTCTTGTAAATATTCAAGATCTTTTTTCTTTTTTATGATTTTAGCACATGGCCATAATAGTGCTAAATAGTTGTAAACCTCTTTAAGAGTTTGGATAGTATTATGTGTGTAGTATCTTTTATTCTACAACAAAAGTTTTGGTTTAATCTGCGGACGCCATTAACTTTAGTAGGATTTAAGTTCTAATACTAATTGAAGGTTTAAATTGCAAAATACCTTTTTATAAGTATAATTTTATCAAGTGAAAAGACTTACATTACAAACTAGTAGGGGATTGTAGGTATGATTTGTAAATGAATAAAGAAAAGATGTTTATCCCACATTGGAAAGAAATACTCCTTCCTAATATTTCTAAGTGTGAGTTTTTATTGTGTAGTAAATTAAGTCATGATGGACAAACTCTCATATTTGGCTTCCTAATGTTATTATATGGATATTTAATATATCAAAAGATAGCATTTGGAAGTTAGAACTTAATATGAATAGTTATACTTTTTCATGAATAGTCATACTGTTTGATGAATAATCATATTATTTTATCAACAGTTATATTATTTGAAGAACAATCATAATGTTTCATTAACAGTTATATTATTTGATAAACAATTATATTGTTTCATTAATAGTCATATTGTTTGATGAATAATTATATTGTTTCATCGTTATATTTCAAGTCTATAAAAGTATATTACCATAAAAAAAAGAAACACAATAAAAAAAATACATATATTCTTTTTTTGGTCTTATCTTCTTATTTTTTTTAGAGATTTAGAAGATTTAGTTATATCTTAGAAATATTGTCTTTGTGTAAGATAAATAAATACTTTTAAAATAATATTTTCACATCTTTAAACCAACTCTATAATTGTTTCTATTCTAAACATTCATAACAATAAACCACAAGGAGTAATTTATAATCTACTCATTTTTTGAGGTAGAATTGATAAAAGAAACAATGCACAACACCAAACAAGATAAAAGAATCCTATCTATACTTTACTTAAAGTGGAAATCTATTCTAAACTCCAAAGCGATATGAGTGAATTTTACTTTGTCCCAGATGAAAAATTGGTATTAATTTCATCCTGAAGCTGATCCTTCCTGGCTTTACTTGACAGTTAAACTTGAAATCGATTCCAATGGGCTGTATGCTCGAACCCCTTAACAGCATCAGATAGATACCAAAGTCAAGACAACAAGAAACGCATCACTATCTCAACTTATAAATGAAAACCTGTAAGCTCACATCGACATCTCCTTCCCTCACAAGAGAAAACTAAACTCACTTTCCCTCCTTTTCTAGGCTATTTCTATTTCCCCATCCCCCAAACATTCCCGTGTGAGTAACATGAAGGTGTCATCGTCTCCCAAGGTCAGCAAACACGTGGAGTGTCTCAGACATCTTCAGGTTGGAACACGTGGAGTGTCTCAGACTTCTTCAGGTTGGTGTATCTATCTACTTTCTACAAGAAATATTGTGCTGTTTATGTTTTCATAAGCTTGTGTTATTTTATAGCCCAGTTTTCAATATTTTTGTTAAGTTTTATTACATGTATAGATGATCATGACATACTTAATTACATACGCGAATTGATGTATTCTGCAGAGCCAACATGATGAGCTGGAAGCACAGTTTCTTGAGGAGAGAAGGGCATTAGAAGCTAAATACAACAAGCTTTATCAACCACTATACACTAAGGTGTGTGTATTGTCTTCGCATTAATACTTCTGCATGTGTTACGTGAATGTTGAATCAGAGGTAGCATGCATTACAATTTTTGTTCCGTATTTCTGTAATTAATTTAAGTTTTTGATGGGCTCTCGGCGCAGAGATATGAGATTGTGAATGGTCTAAAAGAAGTTGACGGGGTTATGTCTGCTAAATTAGACAGCATAAAAGAGGATCAAGCTATAGAAGGTATTAGCGTATATTTTTAACTGTCTATCTTGTTTTTGGCAAACATCCATGGAGTATTTGAAAGCAATGCCTTACATTGAACTTAAGAGTATAGTATTCTTCAATGCAGAGAAAGGAGTGCCTGAATTCTGGCTCACTGCAATGAAAACTCATGAAGTACTAGCAGAGGAGGTATGCAAGGCGTGCAAACATATGCAACATAAATTTCTTCCTTTTGGATTGATCACTGTGTAATGTGATTTATCAATTGATTCTTGCAATAGATTAAGGGACAAGATGAAGGAGCCCTAAAGTTCATAAAAGATATCAAGTGGTCGAGACTTCAAAATCCCGAGGGTTTCGAGCTGGAGTTTTACTTCAACCCTTGTCCTTACTTCAAAAATTCTGTCCTGACAAAAACTTATCACATAATTGATGAATCTGATCCTATTTTGAGTCAAGCAATTGGGTAGTTAATTATATTAATGTTGTTGTGCTGAGAGTTTTTATTCTCTTCCTTTCTAATTTTCCTTCTTATAATGTTTCATCGGATTTTTTAGGACGGAAATTGAATGGTATCCTGAGAAATGCTTGACGAAGAAGGTTGTGAAGAGGAAACAAAGAATGGTGTCAAAGAAGACCAAAACCACCATGACAATTAAGAACTGTGAAAGTTTCTTCACATTCTTTAATCCTCCTCAGATCCCTGAGAATGAGGATGACCTAGATGATGATGATGTAAGTTCCGCTTCGTTATGTACAAGGAAAGCAATATAGTAGTCTGTTGATATGTTAATTGATGTCGTAGTCTCTTGTGTTCACAGTATGATGAACTTCAGGACCGGCTAAAACGAGACTACAATATAGGGTAAGTCCCACATTCTTTATGTGAACTTCATTGGGTCTATTCTGTGCATCTCTTTCTCCTTTTCCTGATATGGACATGTTTTTGTGGATGATAGTATTATTATTCGGGACAAAATCATTCCACATGCTGTGTCATGGTTTACTGGAGAGGCTATCGAGGAAGATGAGTTAGATGGTATAGATTATGATGGCAATGGTGATGGTGATGACGACGACGACGACGACGACGATGATGATGAGGACGAGGTTGAAGATGAGGAGAATGATGATGGGGATGAGGAGGACAACGAAAGCGACAAGGAGGTTGAGCAAGAAGAGAAAAGAAAACTAGGTGTGAAGAAGGACATCAAAAAAGACTATGATGAGGATGAGGATGAGGAAAAAGAAAGAAAATGGGGCTTGAAGAAGGATGAGGATGATGATGATGAGGCTGAAGATGAGGAGAATGATGATGGGGATGAGGGGGACAATGAAAGCGACCAGGAGGCTGAGCAAGAAGAGAAAAGAAAACAAGGTGTGAAGAAGGACAACCAAAAGGACTGTGATGAGGATGAGGATGAGGATGGGGACGAGAACGAGGAAAGAAAATGGGACTTGAAGAAGGATGATGATGATGAGGCTGAAGATGAGGAGAATGATGATGGGGATGAGAAGGACAATGAAAGCGATAAGGAGGCTGAGCAAGAAGAGAAAAGAAAACAAGGTGTGAAGAAGGACATCAAAGAGGACAATGATGAGGATGGGGATGAGGAAAAGGAAAGAAAATGGGGTCTAAAGAAGGATGTTGAAGACGAGGATAAGGAGGAAGAGGAAGAAAAACAGGTCTGGAAGAAGGTAAAGTGCATCAATTTTATAAGCTAGCCTTCCATATTTTTGAAGACGCCAACATATTCTTCCACTGTTTCTTTCTTTGCAATATTCTTTCAGTCATCCGATGGACACAAGGCAACTTGCAGCTGATATTTCATTATTATAGTTTTTTATGCTATCTGTTGTTCTGGGTATAAAGTTCCGAGAAAATCTGATTTGGTTTTATTAATTGCAGAAGATTGGAGGGCCACAAATTCAGAAAGGTCAACAAAGGGAGCACCCTCCTGAGTGCAAGCAACAGTAGTGTTGGATCACACTTGCACACAAATGACAGGAGCAGCTTGAAGATTGTAGCATCATCAGTCCTAGGTGACCAAAAGCTTTAGCTGTGTGGCATTGACTCTCTATGTATCATCTACATATATCGATATGGCCAATGTTCTTTTCTTTTCGTTAGCTAAGCATCTGGAGTGAAACTAGAAATAATGTCTATCAGTGTATCTAATTTAATGGCTGCTTGATATTGGCCATTTTATTCAACTAGAAAAGGGCTAAGTATACAAATAAAATAAAATAAAAATTAAACATCTTAAAGATAAACTATTTCATGTTTGGATTTTATGATAAAAATATTGATGTAAATTTCTTTATTACATGAATAAGTAACCCCAATAAAAATGATATTGCCCTAAGAAAGCTGAAAATTAAATTTGAGAAGTGTGACACTATAGAAACTTGTTTCAAGACACCAATTAAATTGGAATTAAATCAAATGACACTACAAGATTAATTATATCTTAATGAGTCAAATTTAATCTTTATTCTAAAAAAGATAACATGCTTAATTATGCAAAACATAAGTTTATTTCATAAATCCATAATCACTTGCTTTTCAGCATACAAAACACTTATATAATGTTTCACGTTTGCATTTTATGATAAAATTACCTTTTACACACACATACACACAGTAAATGATGATTAAAGCCTAAAGCAATGACTAAAACCTAAAGCAGTGATTTGAGATCCAGAACCTACAACAAAGCTTAATCCTTAGTTTTATAATGTAGGTGTAGTACTTAAAAGGATAATGAATGTTTAGTTGGACTATGACTCATTTTCTTTAGGTAGTTTCAAAGTGAGACCAAAAGCCATCACTCACCATCAATAAACCTTGTTTGGGATCACATTGATTCATCCTAAACCTACTCAAAATGAACAAGTTAATATACTAGATATTTCTAACGAAGCATTCTCAAACATTGGTGAAAGGAAAGAAAAAGAAGCATATTTTCAAACAAAGACTACAACAATATTTACTTGTTATATATGTACTTCTTTTTTTAGAAAAAAAAAGTGTTGTCACACACACAAATATATGGTAAAGAGTGACTAAAACCTAAGGTAGTGATTTAGAATTTGAAACTAGCAACAAGACTCAATCTTCATTTTTAGAATGTGAGCATTAGATCCTAGAGGATGATGAACATTTAGTTGGGCTCTGACTCATTTTCTTAGGGTAGTTTCAAAATGAGATCGAAGATCATCACTAATTCTTAATGAGTATTGATAGGATCACATTGATTCATCCCAAACCTACTCACAACGAACAAGTTAATATATCTTAACATCTGGATGTTTCTAAACAATATTCTCAAACATTGATAAAAAGAAAGAAAAAGAGCCACATTTGCAAACAAAGACTATATATATTAAAAAAATATTGTCACCTCAAAGATGAATCTATCAGTAGGATAATGGTTTACTATATTGTAAGACTCAAACTTTTGACCCAAACCTAAGCATAAGTTAGCTTAAACCCAACCTAAGTTAACCTAGGTATTTAAGAAAGAGTTGCAAGATAATTTATTTCTTCTCTTTCAATTCCTATAGCCGCCGTGACCCTCCTCTCCTGAAACCAAAGAGTTTAATTTTTTATCTTGAGTTTTTGGTTCAAGAAAGGTGAAAGTAATAAGTAAATGGTTCCTTTTCATATTACTTTCGATTATAGTTTATTTATGGAATGATTAAAAAAGAGATTAGGGTTTATAAGGATTAGAAGTTCATGTTGTTAAGATTGATTTATGATTATTAAGGGTTTAATGTTAGATGATTAATTAATATGTTGTAAGAAATAAGAATTTGTGAGTTGATTTGTTTAAATTAATTTTTATGGATTAAGAAATTTGGATAGAACGGTCTTGAGGTTGAAGATGACCAAATTTTATTTTGTTCTTTAAGTTGTGAAAGTTTTAGTTTAGTCCCTAAACTTTGGAAAAATTACAATTTCACACCTAAATGTATTTTGAGATTCTAGACAGTGTTATTATGAGGTTAAGGATGATGAATCTCAGTTTGATAATTGATTTGGAATATTTTCAGTTTGATCCCTCAATTTTAGGAATTTACATTTTAGTCCCTGAACTTTTAAAACATTGCAGTTTGGTCCCTATGTTTTTCTGGACAGAATTAATGATGTTTTATAGGTGAAATTTCAATATGGTTATGTATTTATAGTTTGGTCAAGTTTTGGTATAATTATGTTTTGGTCCCTAAACCTAGGAGACTAAACCTGGTTTTCTTTTATGCATTGAAATCTTTTATTTATGTTGTTTTGAGTTGCTTTTGAGTATATTTTATATATTTATTATAGGTTCCCTTAACAACCCTTAATAGTTTTTTCGGGTCTTTCATTTGATATTTTTCTTAATCTATATTCTTCCGGGTGAGTGGGATAATCTTTAATATGCATATATTATAAATAAATATGTATGTTGATTATACAATGAGTACAACTAGTTAATTTCTTGAATACTTATATATGTTGTTTTATTTTTCGAGTACTTATTTATTTTTGAATTTGCATTGGCAATCTATCAAATTTGCACTCGTAATCCGACAAACGTAATTCTATTTGATATGATATAGGTTTCTTTGATGATTCTGTAAATATCTATTATACTTTGATATAAGACTTGTTAGTAACTCCATGCTATCAGAGAGTAGTTAGCCTATATGCACATAGTATTCTGTATACTTAGCTGGTGAGAGAGGTATCAGTCTGTGGCGACTGATCTTCCCACAATGGTCACCTTCGGGTGTCATCTGGTCACTTTTGAGTATCATCTAGTCACCTTCGGGTGTTATCTGATCACCTTCAGATGTCATCTGATCTCTGACATGTATTCCACTACTCTATAATAATATGTTTAGTATGTATATGTATATGTATATAAAGATAAATCGATTTGCAAACTATTAACATGTAAAATGTATATTAAATGTTATTCCCTTGCTGAGTTGGTTGAACTCACCCTTTATTTTTAATATTATTTCAGGTTCTTAATTTTTGATAACACGTGAACTTTGTTAAGTGTTTTTGTTTCTTCAGTTTTAGTCGGTATGCCTTACTTATTTGGTGAGGCTTTCCTTTTAATTTTGATTCGATGTCTTAGATGCTGCACTATTACTCTGTTTTAATTAAATTTGGATTTTGATAATGTAATGAATATTATGGATTATTTTTTTTTTTCATTACTAATGAAGAGTTTTGAATTATTCTTTGGTTTTATCAATTTTGAGAAGACATCAATCTTTCAGTCGTGTTATTCACCTTAACCATTAAAACAAATTTTTTTTGTTCTTTCAAGTAAAGCCCCGTAACTATATGTTGAGATATTGAGCATAAAAGAAAGGTTTATTAACATCTTGTTTAAGAAGTATTGAGCAGATATATAAATTTAATAAGAGTTTATTTATCTAGATAAATTAATGGAAGTTCAATGATGAATGCCTTACTTTGTGGAATTTGCAAATTAGTTTTCTATTTTAACGCTTTGATTACTAGGGACTAGTAATAAGATGGTTGGGTGGTGTGATTAGTACTTAAAAGTATATTTTTATCAAGGTTTTATATTAGTATTTTGCACTTGAAGTATCAATAACTCCTTAATTAAAGTATGTTTTATAATAACAAGTTTGATACTATAAGATACCTTTAATTTATGGTAAATGTTCATCTTAAATGCAAGCCTATCACATAAATCAGAGGATTGATTAATGAGTTCAACTACTGAAATTGAGAAGACAAAGAGAGGGTGAAGCTTAGAAAAGAGATGCTGATTTAGTCCAAACTGGAATACTGTTTGGTAATTGAATCATAAGTAGAGTTGTAGAATTTGGATTTAGGTCTGATTTATATGGATAGAAAACTAAGAAATAGCCCTAAAACTTTCATGGAAGGCAAGACTCAATTTTGCTGTTTTATAGTCCAAATCTTAGCAATAACGTAGAAGTCCGAATATGTCCTATACCTAGAAATTGTTTAGTGTTTAACCCATATCTTGAGTTCTAAAAGTCCAAATGACCTAATTTTTTTTTTTAAACCTGAGATAATTTTCTAGAACTTTCATGTTTTAAGTTTGTTTGAATTCTGATGTTAGCAATGATGTTTTTAGTAGACAAGAAGATAAGGATTGTCATGAAGTCAAGAGTTGGCCACCCACTCAACAATTTGTCATCAAATCAATAGTTCCTAATTTTGGC